TTTAGCTTTTTTGGTGGATATGTGGTAAAATCGTGGGGTGGTTTTCATATTCACTTTCCTGAGTACTAACTATTAATAGTTGAATATTCTTTCATGTACAGATTGAATGTTAGTATGTGTTTTTTTTTTTTGAAAGTCTGCTTATATCTATCTTTTTGCTCATTTTGTATTGTTAAATTGACTTCTTTTTTCCTCTGATTTTTTTTTTTATCGTGGAAGAATATAAATAACGTGACATTTATCATCTTAACCATTTTTAAGTTACAGTTCAGTGGTATTAATACATAATGTTGTGCAACCATCATCACCATCCCCCTCTATAACTCCTTTCAGTTTATAAGACCAAAACTCTGTAATTGTTAGACAGTAACTCCCCATTTGTCTAACCACTATTCTATTTTCTGTCTCTGATTTTGAATTGTAGCACTTACTCATATATGTTGAATACCAAACCTTTGTTATATTATGTTTTGCTCATATTTTCTCCCAGTATGTGGCTTGTCTATTCGTTCTCTTAACTGATTTTAGGGTTTTTAATCTAGGGAATAGGGCATTGTTGTGTATTCAATGAAATAATTGATCAATGCACTTACTAATGTTGGGCTCATAGTGAATACCCCAAATATTATCTGTTTTAATTTATTTTAGAAGAATCAGTATTTTTAATGGTTTGACTATTTTATCTGGGTAGAAATATAATAATTATGTTTGGGTTCTCACTACCACCACTCCCTTCCCACAAAAAGAAGGGAGGGAAATAGATTGTAGTAAACTGCCTTAATTTTATTATTCCTAATGTTGAAATTTCATCTAAGTCCATTTTCAGTGCTATCATGAGGAAAACAGTATGTCATTGGGCATATTAATGTGTGAGTGTTCTACTGGTTGAACATTACTGTTAAGTATACAAATAGTTTCATTAAAAGATGTCCTAAATATGACTACCAGTGTGAGAAATCTCAAGTGATTCACTAAATGTTTTTGACCCATTTTCGAATATCCTGAAAGATACTAATCAGCACACTCTAAAAATAAACTACCATCTTGTTATTACCCTATTCACTGTAGAGCAGACATTTATAAAAATAAGTTTAGGCAATAAAGCTAATGACTCATTAGAAAGAAAGAAAATCATGGTTTACCCTGAAGTCAGATTTTTCCTTTGCGATATTACATTTTATTTTTATTTTTCTCCGTCTCAGTTTTCATTAAAGTTGTATTTGATTGGCAAACTTTTGCAAATTGTGGTGGAAAAAAATCTAAGAAATTAAGGAATTATATACCTTTGACGTTTGAGAAATCAGATTGTGTGTGCACATGTGTGTATGTGCATGTGCGCACATGTGTTTCAGTGCAAGTGCGTGCACACTCAGGCCACCCTCAAATGCACACATATACACATGTGGACATACACTTGACTTCAGATCTTCTCTTAAAAAATTGATATGCAATTAGATGATTCATTTACCTCCGATATAATTTGTGGTTACCCATTATAAATGGACAAAATAAATAAATAACAGTGGAAACATTTATTGTCATACAGGTTTTCTGGCTTCAATCCTTTCCCTTTACATCTATCCTCAACATATAACATCCTAAGTAATCGTTTTTAAGTGAACGTTTACTTCTGTTTTTGCAGAAAGAAATCCAAATTCATCTTATTTTTAAAGTAGAAAACATGAAACAAATTACTTTTCAAAAAACTTTAAGGTAGTGTACACTTTAAGGTAATGTACACTTTAAGGTAGTGTAATCCTTAGTTTGTGTATTTTTATAGCTTAGGTATGAAAGAGGAAAAATTAAGGAATTAGTTTTAGTTGGGAATTACCATTGAGTTCCTTGTGTACATAAAACACTCTGATCTGACAAAAACTCAGCGAGGAATGTTTGACAGTTGAGTCAACCAGGCTATGAGAGTAAAATAACTTGTGTTGGGTCACTGAGCTAGTAAGCAAGCTAGCTTGTCAGTTCACCTTTGTCTGCTGTCAGCCCCATCCTCTTTCACATGCTACCAAGGACTTTTTAGCCTAGTTGATAAATTTGGGTAGCTGTTATATTATTCAGAAGAGACCAAAAGAAAACACAAAATCTCATGTGGCAGCCATAGCATTGAGTTGACATGGCATAAATTATGGAATAGTTTAGGATTAATATTTTCTATTAGAGAATGTGAGCTATTTTTATATTAAAAACCTATGCTTGCTTCGATTTCATAGTAAGATGAAAAAACTCCTGAGTATAAATGCAATACTTGCGCAAAGAAATCCAAATTCATCTTATTTTTAAAGTAGAAAATTAACATGACACAAATTAACTTTTAAAAAACAAAAAACAATTTTCAGAGGTCTTTTCTTAAAACAATCTTGAAAATTTGCTTTACCTAGAGTTAACAAACAATAGTAATCCACAGTAGAGAAAGAGGATACAACATAATGGCAGTGTTAAAATGAACCTGGAGATGCATGTGAAGCTATTGTGTTATATATTGGGGATGTAAGGTTAAGTGACATGTGGTTCCTGTTTGTCACTGATCTTCATTCTAGTAAAGACTGCGCTGTGGAGGAGTTCTCAAGCAAAGATACAGGTACAAACTAAAGTCTGAGTTTTAGGGGTTTACAAATGGATTTTTTTTTTCTTTTATGAGACAAGGTATTTCTCACTCTGTTGCCAAGGCTCTGGAGTGCAGTGGTGTGGGCTCACACTCCTGAGCTCAAATGATCCTCCTACTTTGGCCTTGGAAGTAGCTAGGAGTACAGGCGCATGCCACCATGCCCGGCTAATTTTTTCTTTTTTGTAGAGTGAGGGTCTCTCAGTGTTGCCCAGGCTGGTTTCAAACTCCTGGGCTCAAGTGGTCCTCCCACGTAGGCCTCCCGAAATGTTGGGACTACAGGCATGAGCCACCACACACAGCCCAGATCTGGATTTTGAGTCCTAGCTTTAACACTTACTTATGTGACTCTGTGTAAATTAAGTTTTCTGATCTTTATATTAATATAATAGGGTTAATAAAACCTACCTTGAAGAATTATGGTAAAGGTCAGAAATAATATATACCAAATGCTTAGCATAGTACCTGGTCCCTGGTAGATACTCCTTAAATAGTAGTTCCTTTGCTATCATCTTGATCATTTTCTTTAGGTTTTTCTGAGGCCATAAAATGAGAATGATAATAGTGCCCAACTCACAGTGAGGTTGTGAGGATTAAATGAGACATTACATATAAATCTGCTTGACGTGGTGCTAAATATATATACCTTAAGTGTATATACTTAAATGCTTGATAAATTTCATTTATTTGTAAAAGGAAAGCAATTCTGCTGGGAGTTAGTAGAAGGGAGGTAGTAAAGAAACATTTTATAAGGGAAATGAACACTGTAAATGACCCTGAATCTTGAAGCCCAGCCTCCGGACATGATGATGCTCTGTGGCTTCAGAGAATGCTAGAATGTATCTAGCCTGGATGACAGAGAGCGAGAGATACTTGAGTAGGGTTTGTTTTCATTCCTTTAGTAGAGGGGACGCTGCTGTGGGGCTTGAGGTTAGGATGAGGGTCTGTTGTGATGGCTTCTTCCATGTAATATCACTACCCTTTGCAGAACACATCAGTCACATGAGTGGGTTTCAGGCCATGGTCATACACCTCTGATAACCAAGAACGGTAGATTGGAACTGTAGGAAAAACAACTCTGAACTTTGAAGATACACACATAAATGAAGGGATTTTTCCATAAAGATTTTAAAATTATAATTTTCCCTTTTTTCATTTTTACAACTAACATGAATTTGGTTTTGATGAATGAAATACAGCATTTGATTATATTTTTCCCACTTGTGAATGAATAGTGTTTAGGAATTATAGTAATTAATCTTCAAGCCAGTTTTCTAATGCTACATTTTCCTCAACATACAATTGATAATCTTCTGTGGTTCCTCTGGAATCTGCACCAGACAACTAAGAGCCACTTAATGTTTCCATCAGAACACCTCTGGCATTTCTCTATCTTATCTAAATACCTGCCTTGGTTTATCTCTTGTGCTGTTATTTTTGTGTTCAATAATAAACCTACTTATGATACAAAAACTTGGTTTTTTAAAAATTTGGACTGACTTGTTTTATAGATGCAAGAGCCAACTGAAGTATAAACAAAATTATTCTAGAATGAAAGCTTTTTACTTAGTTCACTGGATTAAGTAATTTTGTTCCAAGTGATCAGGCTTAAGTGCCTACTATGTATAAGGAATAGAACCTATTGTTGCTTGTAAATTTTATATGGTTTCAAACTCCTGACCTTGAGCGATCCTCCCACCTCAGCCTCCCAGAGTGCTGGGATTACAGGCGTGAGCCACTGCGCCCAGCTGTAAATTTTATATGGAAAATAACATTTACACACAGGTACCCACACTTCAGTTTGATAACTGTTTATTCATTCATTTGCCCAATTGTTCATTTAATAGATATTTATTGATCATCTGGGTGGAGGGTGCTAATGCAGAAAATAAAGCAAAGATATTGAGAAGGAATAATGTTTAGATCAGAAATAACACATAGACCAACCTGAGCAAGGGTGAGACTGCAAGGGCTGAGACAAAATTTTACAGCAATTTTGCTATAAAAATGTAGCAAAATTAGCCAGGTGTGGTGGCACGCACCTATACTCCCAGCTACTCGGGAGGCTGAGGCAGGAGAATCGCTTAAACCCCAGGAGTTTGAGGTTGCTGTAAGCTAGGCTGACACCACAGCACTAGTGAGACTGTCTCAAAAAAAAAAAAAAAGAAAAGAAAAGCTCATACATGATAGGAGCTTTTTTCTTAGTAAAAGACCATTTTATTTCTTTAATTATTTTTTGGTATGAGTCATTCTTATATCTCTAGTATCTAGAGTAATTATTGACACAGTATAAAGTAAATGAAAGATACTCAATGGACATTTATTGAATGAATACATCCAAAATGTATTCTTTAAAACAGCACTGTTTTACCCATTCCTTTTATTGTAGGTGAAGAGCGATTATATGTTAGAGATAGCTGATCAAGTGGACCAGGAAATTGCTTTGAAGTTGGGATGTCTAGAAATTCGGTAAGATGATAAGTATACATTGAGATCTTTATTCATCAATGGTTTTCATTATATTTGAAAATTTTCAGGTGTTTATTTGCCTTGTAAGGATTATTAGTAAAATATTCAAGTAAAAATATGAGAAGAATCTGAATTAATCATTAAGCAGATAACTCTCCCCTAATTTTGATCATTTTACAACTTAAACATTCCGTGTATATACATGTAATTGATGTCTTCCCTGATTTTAGGCGATCATACTGGGAGATGAGAGATAATGCGCTAGAAAAGAAGTCTAACTATGAAGTATTAGAGTAAGTATTACATACCCACACTACACCAGCAGAACTATTATAATTTAGTTCTGAACTAATATTCAGAACTAAATCATTTGCTAATTTATCTTAAAATTAAATACTGACTCTGAAATACTATTGTTTCTAAAACTTTTCTGTCTGGAAGAGAGAAAGTTTTAAGAATTCTTGATGGCATTAATTGTGTTAGCAAACATTTAAATTTGCTGATAAATATCTTAAGGCTAATGATATGTATGGCCTGTTAACACATTATAAACTTTTATAGATTTAAACTCTGTATATTTAAGCACAGTGAGATAGCATTTCATTTCTATTTATATTGAACTCTAGAATTACCTATAAATTGCTTATAAATTATTAGTCATATTCTCTGTATAAATTTACTGTGGGTTTTTTCACAAATGGATGTATATGTATGAATTGTTGCTCATGTATTAGAAAATTTAATCATTAAAAAGTTTAGAATAACTAAAAATGTTTCTGATAATGAAATGAATTTGTATATTATACTATTATATTAGATTGTATTAAACAAATATAATCCAACCTAGAGCTTATGTCTTGGGAGGGTAGAATTTCTGTTGCACTTCATCTTTTTGATGATTAATTCAGCAAAAGATAAATGAGCACTGAGTCCTTGGTAGCTAAATGCTAGAGACTCAGAAATTAATAATACAAAATTTTCACCCTCAGGAAGCTTACTGCTAGAAGGAAGAATCTCAGAAAAGTAAGCAAAATTATAGTATACTAGAAACCAGATATAGAAGTATCTATGAAGTGTTTGCAGGTGGGTGGTACTTGATGTCTGAGGTGGGTCTGTAGAGAGATGTTATTTAATGCTAATCTTAAAGGGAGGGTGAATGATACACAGAATGTGGGCAGGTAGGGGTTGTTAAGCATGGAAGCCAATCTGGGAGGAGAAATCAGCATTTGCAAAGGCATAGAAGAAACATGGGCGATCAGATAAAGGTTAGAAAAGTGTAAGTTCGTTGGGGATAGAACACCATACTTATGAGGGAGAGATAGTGATATGTATACATGGAGTCCAGGTCATTGCTTATCTACATCGTTTAGAGTCTGGACTTGGTCCTTGAGCATTGCTGACTCATTGAACTTTTTTCATCAGGACAGTGATTTGATAATATTTGTAGTTTAGAATTCCATATTCGTGAGATTAGAATGTTAAAAATAAAAGCAGGGCTCCAAGAAGCTATTGCATCTTTCTTTTCCATGGGAGAAATAATGAGACTCTGAGAGAGACAGAAGCAGTGGCTATGGAGAAGTTGGATTAGCAGAGTTGGACCCTATGAGACTGGAGGCCTGGTCAAAAGAAAAGAGGGATCCAAGAAACCTCTTGGCTTTTAGTCATGGGCTGAGAGGGATACCAGTCACAGGAAAAGAGCATGCTTGAGGAGAAAGAATAAGTCGTTTGGGGAATGTTGATTTTTCAGTCTGAGGGAACATTCATATTTTTTTAAATGAAAAGGGAAAGAAAAATATTCATTTTGTTATCTGTTATGAAAGGACTAATACTAGCAGCATTAAAAATCTCTGACAGCCAGGCAAGGTGGCTCACGCCTGTAATCCTAGCACTCTGGGATGTCGAGGTGGGCAGATCATTTGCCCTCAGGAAACCAGCCTGAGCAAGAGCTAAACCCCATCTCTACCAAAAATAAAAAAATTTAGCCGGACATGGTGGTGCATGCCTGTAGTCCCAGCTACTTGGGAGGCTGAGGCAGGAGAATCACTTGAGCCCAGGAGTTTGAGGTTGCCGTGAGCTAGGCTGACGCCACGGTACTCTAGCCAGGGCAACAGAGTGAGACTCTGTCTCAAAAAAAAAAAAAAAAAAATCTCTGATGATACCCAGTGCTACCTTGGTTTCTAAGATCCTCCTCCAACAAAAGAAATCAGGGCTTCTTAGAAAAATGCCTAGTTCTAAGGAGAGAGAAAATACAGGATGAGCCTAGAGCAGTTTATTTTGCTGGAAAGAAGGAAGTACTAAAACAAACAAAACAACAAAAAGACCAGGCAGGGTGGCTCATGTCTATAGTCCTAACACTTTGGAAGGCTGAGGAGGAAGGATCACTTAAGACCAGGAATTCAAGACCAGCCTGAGCAATATAGTGAGACCCCATCTCTACAAAAAATAGACAAATTAGCTGGGTATGGTGGCTCATGCCTTTACTCCCAGCTACTCAGGAGGCTGAAGCAGGAAGGATCACTTGAGCCCAAGAGTTTAAGGATATAGTGAGCTATAATGTTGCCACTATACTCTAGCCCCAGATTATAATTCAAAGTATAAAATAAATTTCCATGAGTTAATACTAATATAAATGATTGAATAAATATGTGAAGAAGTGACCAATCTGCTCTACAGAAAAATTCCAAATATTGCCAATATTCCCCTGTTGAAAGGATGTGAAGCTCACCCCCAAAGTATAGGCTACACTTGGTTGCTTGTGTGTAAAGGGTATAACATAGAAAGGGAGTGAGGGAAGAAAGTAACTTCACAGTGAAGGAACCTGACAGATACCTCCTGAACCTGGAGATCCAGGTCAACATTAGCAGTGATACGTCATGTTGATAGTGTGTACCCAAGGTGCAGTGTGTTGACAATGGCACTTTACCTCCCCAAACCCATTATCCCAGTCTAATCATGAGAAAAACATCAGATAAACCCACTTGCAGGACATTGTACACAATACCTAACCAGTACTCTTCAAAACTTTCAAAGTCATCAGGGAAATGAGGGAAGTCTAAGAAACTGATATAGCCAAAAGAAGCCTAAAGAAACATGGTTAAATGTAATCTGGTGTCCTAGATAGGATCCTGGAACAGAAAAATCTGAATGAAGTATAGAGTTTGTTAATAATAATATGTCAATACTGATTTATTAGTTGTGAAAAATTCACCATAGTTATGCAAGATATGAACAGTAGGGAACCTGGTGTGGAGTATATGAGGTACATACCTCTGTAACTTTTTTGTACATCTAACTATTGTAAAATAAAAAGTTTATTTCAATTTTTAAAAATTGATGTAGGATCGAGGAAGCAGAAAGCCAGTCAGTACTTAGAGATGATCTAAAAAGGTACAGCTGTTGGTGAATAATTATGTGACGTCAGAAATGGAATGCTAGTTCAGTGGCCTGGAAGAGTCACAGGACAAAGATGCCTGGAAACCTGTGATCGTCCTTCAGGGTCACTATGGAAGGCTGCCCTAGTTCAGTGATTGGGGAAGAATGCTGTGAATTGTATTCTATCCTATCTCTGGGTGAAGCCAAGACAGGAAAATGAAAGATAACTGAAAAATAGAGTCTGTGTGAGAACAAGAGGTATACAAAAGAATGAAGAAAGCCAGATGTACTGCCAAAAGGATACAGAGTTACAGGAAGAGAGATGCCTGAAAGAAATCTCCATGGATAATGCATAGACATGTTTTTAGCAGCCAGAACAATCAGTTAAAAGAAAATGAAGAAACAGGTATCCATCCAGGTGAGGTTGCAAATAGTGTGTTTGGAGAAAGGAGTTTTAAGTTCAAGATCTGTCTGAAATGAGAGTCAAATTCTACTCTAAAGTTAATGTAAATTTGGCTTATTTTTAGAAATTACAGAACTATAGATGACAGAATAGATTATGGAAGAGGACAAATTGGGTTATTAATCAATACCTTTAAAACCTTGGTGTTTTTGTGGGGAGTCAGTGAAACGGAAAATGTGAGAATTACCATTCATAAGTCAAGGCTTGTGATTATCATTACCTGGAAACGAGAATTAGACCCAGCATAACCTGGTAAATTAGATCCTTTTCAGAGGATATGATTGAAAAGTTGAATGATATATTGTTTTGAAACATAGCTATTTAGCATTTCACTTATATGTGATATTTAAGGTATAGGGGAATCTTCAGGTTTTCATAGTTCTAGGATATTATTTTGCTCATTTTGCTGTACCTTCTTTCTAAATTCCTATGCTGTTGCTCACTGTGGTGATTCTTTGCAGTTCTATAAATTGTGTGAATTCAGTACCTGATCTCTATATGAGAGATGGATTAGTTGAATGGGCTCTTAGAGTAGAATAAATGTCTGGGTTTATGTCCTAGCTCCATTTTCACTAGCTCTTCTTTTGCTCAGTTTTATTAGTAAAGCTCTTGGTGTTTGTTTCTAAATCTGTGAAATGGGGATAATGCTGATACCTAACTATTACTGGGTTGTTTTGGGGAGTTGATAAATAATCCATGTCAAGAGCTTAATATATATAGTACCGAACACTAAATAAATGTTAACCATAATTGTCATTATCATTATCCATAGGAAAGATTGTCAATCAGGATAAAAAAATCAAGCTGTGTAGAGTTTTTTGAAAGAGAATTAAGAAAAAATAATATAAAACAATGTGTTCATTTATTGACTTAATTTTGAGTGCTTTAAAGATGATTTTTAGTTTATTTGTTTCAAAGATAATATATTATAGTTATTGAATGTTATTCATTCTGGTTATTGAGAAAATTGAAACTACACTGTCAAATAGGAAAAAATCTTCAAATCCCATCACTTATGGATAACAACCTTCAAGTCTTACTAAATATCGTTATATAGCCAGCCCTCTTTTTTAACACACGTGTGTACACATACAATGCAGTTTTTAATATAATAGTTTTTAGTATAAGTAGAATGATACTATACATGCATCCTGCTTTTTTTCTTCAATCTTATGTTGTTGAGATCTTTCCATGTAATTAAATACAAATATATATTAGTATACTACTCCATCAAATGAGTGTATAATACTATATTTAACCAGTCACCTATTGGTGGAAATTCCATTTGGGTTAATAACGTATAAAGCATGTTGCCATTTTTTGTTCATTTTTACCTAGATGATAAGACAACAAATAATAGTTTTATTTCCTTACGTAAGTTTGATTTCTTGGTAATATTAAACATCTTCCCATATATGGCCATTTTATTTTCCTTTTGTAAATTGCATTTTTATAAGT